TGTGGTCTGTTACGGGGGAATCCAGACAAAGACAATGGGGGCAACCTAATTAATTCTTTTAAATGTGAATAATGAGCATTTTTAACTTTATGAATCAGAAAGTCAAGTACAAGATATAATATCTGCTATTATTACAATGCAACTCACTTTCAGCTCTGTGGCATACCTACCTGCATGTTACAGGAGACTATATTCCAAGAACTAAGGGTTGGTGAATGGGTCAGTCCATTAGTTGCTCTAACTGGGCTGCCCAGAGGCATTCATTCTTATCAGGCATGTTGGTCCTTTCAATAGCAAAGACTGCAAAAACCTTTGCAAATACTAGCTTCTGGCCGCATGACCTTCCACAGATTGTGCAATCGATCCCTGTAAGCCAGCCAGGGTCAGCACGATGCAGCCGAAGAGGAATGTGGAGGAACTTGAGGCCTGTTCTCCTCCTGACCTCACTGGACCGCCTTCATCCGTCTCCTGCAGCTGGGCCTCTCCGTCCCGTCACCAGTGCCATTCCCACTCCAGCCCCGTTCATCTTTCTTTGGTTTTAAAGACAGGCAGGGGGAGGAGGGGAATTAAGTATCCGGCTGTTGTAACTCCTCCTCCCCGCCCTCCACTATATTTTGATGTACGAGTAAAGGTATTGCCTTTGCTTCTTAACCCCCAAGACATGATAACACTCAGGTCTGAGGCAGCTCCATGTGTTACTTTAAACACTCCCTGTTCTCAAACCGGGAATCAAAAACGGCATATTTCACAGTCCGGACTCAATCAGACGTTCCTTAAAAACCCACAATTCCAATGGCCGTCGGCAGCACCCAGGCAGGAGTTCAGCCACATCCTGACGCAGACGGATGCCCGGGCCATTTCCTTCCCCGAGTCCTGCTGCGGTGTGGGTTTTCCGATGTCTACTCAGGTTGAGCAGAAATGTCGGCACACGGATGCGCCCCCTTTTCTGAACTGCACTGGAGGAAGGAAATGAATTTGGGAGGTGGGAGCAGGATCAAATTAGTCACATGATGTTAAAACATATTTGTCCGAAACGAGGCCATCATTTCCCACTCCACGCTGCCTGGGACAGGCCGGCTGCAGGCAGCCCACTCCGCCAGGCGGCGAGGGGGCCCAGGAGGGAGGACATCACAGTGCTCTTCTTGACAGAGGCACAGATCTACGGGGAGGCCTGGGCCCGGCCCACCAGTAATGGGACACGAGGCAGAATGGGAGACAGGGGAAATGGCTTCTGGCTGGGAGCATGCGGGAAGGTTTCGCAGACAGTGGTACCCACTGTCCTGTGCTTGGAAGGGTCACTGCCTTCCTTTGGGCAGAGAAGCGGGAAGGATGTTCCAAGAGGGAAGATCAACACGCAGGCCAGCTCAGCACCAGGGAGGAGAAGAGGCGGTCCATGAGAAGAGCGAGTAATCCGGCTCGGCTGGGAGGAACCCAGGTGGGCGCCGGCTGAGAAGACTGGGGAAGCCGCTGGGGCCAGGCTGTGGCAGGGCTCCGATACTCGGCTGCAGCATTTGGAAGGCCGCAGAAAGCCGGAAAAGAATATTAAACACAGAGCGACACAACTAGAACGGCATTTGGGGATGATTATTCTGTCAGACTGTGGCTGATTCAAAACAGGGAGAGAGTAGACATTGTAGAAGTAGCATCTTTTACATTTATTCTTACTTAATATCAGTACAAAGGGCAGCAGGACAATGATTGATATTCTAACCGCAAATAGCCTCCTCTGAATAAGCAGCTGTATCACTGGTGCATGCGACTCTAGTTCTACTGCAGTGGCCACACAGAGCATGTGACCTTGAGTCCTCCTTCTCTGTTTTGTACAAAGCCCATGGCACGTGTTGGCTGTTTTTCTGCAACTCGAAGCTGACTCTGGGTCTTTCATCAGTGACAGCAACTTTGTGACTGATCTAGACACCCAATGTCATCATGTGGGGGCAGAGGACTCTAGACTACTTTTGTTAGTCTAGAAATTCTAACAAATTAAGGGAACGAAATTCTTTTTTCTGATTGCATCCTCACGGGCACCTAAGCCCAGTTCTCCGTGTGTGCCCATAGCGTCAATACTTAAGGTTGCACCGGACACAGAACAACTGTGGTCCCTGCCGCTGAGTGAGCTCTCCAACCCTGAACGACCTCACAAACACAGACTGACTGCAGTTGCAGGTTACACACTGAATGTTCAGCACTTCCCTGGGCCCACTTCTAACCATCACAGTATCTCATTTATTTACCATGTAAAACCCCTGTGGGAGGTACTATGAGCCTTGAACTTCGGGGGAGACATCAGAGGTGTGAGGAGATTAAGAACTCCACCTGGGATCAGACAGCCATAAATTTCACGCTCAAACCCAGGTCCGTTTAATAGGATTCTTGTCACAATTCCTCCAAGCCCAAAGGGATGTGTGCTGTGTGTGTGTTGCAGCCAAAAACCATCAATTACTTTAAAATGGCTATCAAAGGAACGCTTCTCTTTTCAGCCTAACAGTTTCCTCATGTAACTGCACCAACTGGGAACTCCCAGGGCCTCAGGGACATGTTTAAGGAACTAACAGAGGGCCCGAGACTCGAGTGCTGCCACGCTGAGCCACGCCACGCGGAAGTTCTAGTACATGACCTTTGCCACTGAAGAAGGCGGCTAACTAAGGCAGGATGGGCAGCTTTGAGGCCAGGCTGAGTCACCACCTGGGTGGTCCCTGAGGCCACCGAGTGGTCTTCCGCAGAGGACACCTGGAGGACTGAGGAGCTTCTACGGCCACATCTCAGCGGCAAACGGCTCCTCGGTCATCACGCGTTTTGCAAGATGCGCACCGACCCTCGAGGAATACGAGTGAGAACGGTGCCAGTGCGTCCTAATCAGTGTCCCAGGAGATGCAGGGAAGGGGAGCAGGGTCCCTCCCGGGTCCCTCCTGGGTGCAGAGGGAGACTCAGCACCTTGTAGTGATCACGTGTGTGCCCACCAGCTGCTGGCACACCTCTGCACCGACCTGAAGCAACAGGGCTCGGGCTGCATGGCCCGGGTTCGAGTCCCGGCTGTGCCTGTTTCCTCTTTGCTAAGTCCCCTTGCCCAGGGGGCAAGGGCTACAGGGTATCAGTTCCATGTGAGTCCCCTGAAGAGGGCGGGGGTTCAACTAAATCTCAGCTCATTTTCGTTGGCATCCGTCCACCCCATCCCCATCCCCATCAGAGCTGTGGGGCTAAAAAATAATTCTTATATTTTCAGCTGCATCTCTCACTGAATAAATTAGTTTACCATGAACAGTCTTTTTTTTTTTTATTATGAGACACAAATACCAAGAGCTTTCAGAAAACTCTGGGTGGTGGGGGGGGTGTGTTCTAGTTGATGTGACTTAGAAATTCACTCTACTTAACCCGCTAGACTCTCATTTTACTTTTTAAACGGGATTAGTTCTACTTGTTGTGAAATGTAGGAAATGTGTAGCAACAAATAGCAAACATTCACGTAACCGTATTCATATTCTGGGCCCTACTGCAAACTGATCTAAATCAGACTGCTTGCTATTTAGGATCTTTTGTTAAATCGCACTAGCTTCCCACAGTAAAGGGTGATGGTCCCCACCCGCTTCTCAGCCCGGTGGTCCACCGCAGTGAAAGCAAATCCCAGGCCAGATTCTTTCCCGCATACAAACAGCCGCGGGCAAGAAGTCACAAAAGTTCTCTACTCTGCTAACGCCCCTGTCTGTCCTTCTGGGACGTCCAAACGACTGCCGCAGAGACCACACACCCCCACACGGCGCCCGGCCATTCCACCCGGGGTACGCCGGTGACCTACGTACACTTTCCAGCCCCGGACACCACCAGGTCCTAACCTGGCACACACAAATCTCTCGCACAAGCCGGCTTTCTCCTCACCCTCCACGACGCCTGGGAGGCCCATTTTAAAGATGACAATACGGAGGTTTAAAGACAGAATGACCCAGGCCTTCGAGACGCTGTTGGGAAGAGAGCAGCCCAAGAGAGCCCCCAACAAGAAACACTCACGTCGGACTCGGAGGAAATGAAGAAGACGCTGTGTGTCAGCCGCCAACAGGGGAGGAGTTCGCATCCGAGCGCCTTGCTGAGGCGGACATGCCCACGCTCTAACAGCAGGACCAGCGAGCACGCCAGGAGCACCCGGCGAGTGGCCGACCGTGTGTTAAGCGAGGGAGACACGGGCCTGGATGGAGCGCCGGCCCGACTGCACGGCAGCTGGACAGCTGGCCTGGTCGTGTTCTTATTTTTTGGCCCTTGTTAAAATCAAGGGACATGTATACCCTTCCCAGCTAATCACATATTTCAGGATAATGAACACATGATTTCCAACATGAGTTTTGCTCATTAACAAACCCTGTAGCCTGGATTTTTGATAACATCCCTTCAGGCATTCTCCCAGCCACCTCTGAGAGTGGAATTCGCCAGGAAGTTCCTCAGACAGTAACTACCAGCCCTGGAGTGTGGATTCCAGGCTAGCCATGGCCGAAGTTGGAAGTATTTGACCCTGGGCACAGCACAGTCACCAGGAGATTAGAGTGGGTGTAAACCCTTACGCTGGTGGCGGTATTTTGTGTCCTGGATGACTTCAAGTATTAACTAAGCACCCTGAGGTAGAGATTAAAGTAATGCCCATGGTGACTGTTTATATGAAGTATTTAAACAATAAATTACAAACAATAGAACAGGCGTCTAATTCACAGCCATCATCCATTTTACTTATTTCTCTGCTCACTCTAAGAATTACGAGCAAAGGATCATGGGATCTACTCCTAAGTGTAAGATTAGATCAATGAAATTAGCCATCTGTCCAAGGAAGGATTTAAACTCAGGTTGTCTTTACGTATTATGTTTCCAACTGCCCAGATGTTACAGAAAAGTGCCTGCTGATACAACTCCTTCTGCACAATGTAAACCATTAACTGGCTAACACAAACGTAATGCAGCAGGAAAAGTAAACAGCATTAACATTGCATCAGATCTGATTCGGGTTTTGGGTGCCCCGTCAGCAAACACCAGTGTTAAGATTCAAATTGCTCGGGATTTGCGGAGTCAGACGAAGAGGGAGAGTCTTCGAGTGTCCTCAGGGGAGCGGAGAAGGCAGAGACGGGCCAGGAGATCAAAGCTTCGGAGAGTGTCCTTGGTCGTTCTGGTTGGCTAAGGTAATAATAATTACTACGATTACTGCTAGATAAAAATATTCTACCTTCGTGTAGCACTTTAGCTTTCAAAGCTCTAATCTGCTTTATTTCCTTTGATTCTGAAAATAAGCTGGTTATTCGGGGTAGGTGGGGGGCGGGGGTTTAAAGCTGGAGAAATACAAGAAAATTTAACAGAAAAAGGAGGAGAATCTTTATCTTTCTATGTCATGAGTGGTGGCTGATGAGTTCCTCCTATTGACTGACCAGTGAGCAAACCTGGGCCATCTCCTAGCTCTCTAGCTTCGTGGAGATTTTTGCCCACCACCAGCCACACATTAGTCTGGATAATTCTCTTCAAGAACAGCTGCTACCCTATCCACCCCCACCCCTACACCCTGCAAAATTTCGCCAAAGCAATTAGTAGGCAAAAATCATCTGTCACCCTTGGGGTTATTGGTTCTCAAAGAAATCCACTCAAGCAAGACCACAAAGTTGGCAGCCACATTGTCCAAGGCCAAAATCAAGGCATGTGGCCGACCACAGAGATTAGTCAAAAGACATACATGCATATATGCACAGCCCATGGACACAGAGGACAATATGGGGTGAAGGCCAGGGAAAGGGGGGCTTGGTGGAAGGGGCAGAAGGGGGGATGGGAGACATCTGTTAGTGTCAGCAATAAAAACAGTCTTTCTGATTTGTCCATTCATTTAACTGGAAAATGTTACAACTCAGTACGAATTACATCCCATGCAGCAATCCTACATTAACATGTACAGAACAGGGTGAAGATGCGTGGCATCCTGAGTACCTGCGTTTATCTCCAGGCTGGAAGGCAGTCTTTCCGTTACAGCCGTGCATTCACACCCCGTCCACCCCCGTTTTATATATATTGCCTTGGAGCGTCTAATCCTCTTTAATGCCTTGGTACATGCACTGCCTAATTTAATCCTTCCAGCAAACTTAAACGGTAGCTTCTTTCCTTACCCTATGTTCACAGATGAGGAAACTGGGGCTTACAGAGCAAAAATAGCGTGTCCTGTGTCACCACGCAGCCAGTAAAACACGGTGTCACAACTGGAACCCAAATCTGCCCAACATCAGGGTCTGTGCTCCGGCCCAAGCCCTCCTGCACAGCCAGGAGGCACCAGGGTTGCAGGCTGGAAGGGGCCTTGTGTGGGGCGGGGCTCGGAGGCGGGTGTCTGAGGGAAAAGGGGGGCAGCTGGCGATACACGGTTCAGCGTGGCTTTCTGTTACTGATGCTGCAGGGTATCCCTCTGTCATGCAGCCAACTCTGCGATGAATGGGCTGGGGAAGCCACGTGAGTAGGAGGGTCTACTCCGAAAAGAGATTTTTCATGAGCCTTCAAAAGACCACGAGTCCCAAACCCAACCTCCGGAGCACGTGCAAAGAGTCTGAGAGCAGGGTTTTCCCTGGTGGCGGTGCGGGTGTGTGCTGTTGCCGGCAACCGCACGCGGCCGCCTCGAGTGCCTGGGACAGGGGTACGGAGGGCCCGAGGCGGTGGCAGGGGCCCAAACTCTACTTTGTCACGTCTCAAAAGTGGGCACTGTGACCCAGGTGCACCAAGTCACCTGAGGTTCGTGTTAAAAAGGCAGGTGACTGGGATGCACTCTAAAAATTCTTACCTACATGGAAACTACTTGTTTGGGTCAGAGATGTGCTCCGAGCCAGCTTTGGAAAGTGCGCCCTCTGCTGGCGGTGCTTTGACTTGACTTTCACCTGAGTCTGCCTTCTTTTGCTCCCTTCCCACGCCACGGGGCTTCTCCGTCCCTTGAGATGAGGTTATTCAAGATGAAATATATATTTTAAAAAGATTGCATTTATTTATTTTTAGAGAGGGGGAAGGGAGGAAGAAAAAGAGGGAAACATTGATCAGTTGCCCTCCGAATGCTGCCTACTGGGGACCTGGCCTGCAACGCTGGCGTGTGTCCTGACAGGAAATGATCCTTTTGGCTCGCAGGCTGGCGTTCAGTCGGTGGAGCCACCCCAGCCAGGGCACGGTGGCAATATCTTCCAGCTCATTGCACCAGGCCGAAGCCACACTCGGGGGATCTTATTCAAAACAGAGGCCCCCCACCAGTGGAATCAGGGGTGAGTCTGGGGGGGCTTCCCTTACAATGGCCATTCAGACTTTGTAGTACCTCCTCCCCCTTTCCTTTTTCTGATGGGAGAAGCTACAGTCCGGCCACCGAGTGGGCAAGGCAGGAGAACACAGACTCCACAGGGTGACCCCACGGGAGCCGTGGCCCCACCTCAGCCTGAGACGCCCGAACCCCTGCCTTCCAGGAATCTAGTTCTGAGTCGCAGGGCCTCGCTGGAGCTCGAGTCACCCACAAACAGACGGACGACCGCCCCAAAGAACGCTAAGTTCGGGAAGGCCTGGGTTCAGGGTGAGAGACTAAGACACACAACTCCGCTCAGTTCTTCCCTGGCCAAGCCACCCTTCCATGAGAAAGAATTCTGAGAAACAAGTACTGCCTCATATTTTACTGCATCTACCCCTGACCTTGACCTCTCTGTCCCTTTACCTTATAGGGAACCAAAAGAGGGAGGGCAGGGTAAAGAGAGGGTGGGGGGGACAGGCTTCTTTATAGGGGTTAGGCATGACGAGGGCTGATGGAATGAGGGTAGGAGGAAGGGATTTCTGCCAGAAGTAACCTAGCAGCTGGGTGCTGGGCATGCACACACAGGTCTACCGCGGAGACTTGCAGGTTTGGTTCCAACCACCGCAGTAAAGCAAACACCACGATAAAGTGAACCACAGGAATTTCTTGGTTTCCCGATGCATACTGAAGTTACGGTTACACCATGTAATCCATTAGGTGTGCGGTAGCATTATATCTAAAAAGACAGACATACAGACCTTAATGTATAGAAGTTGCTAAAAATGCTAACCATCACCTGAGTTTTCAGTTAGTTGAAATCTTTTAGCCTGTGGAGGCTGTTGCCTTTAATTTGTTTTAAAAAACTATATATCAAATACAACCGTGCAGCACAAGGTATGCTCTTTCTGTGTGGGCACGTCTGGTGGCCTTTGTGGACTCCAGTTTTTCCCAAGAAGCAAGACAACGAGATCACCCTTGTGGTGGAGTACGGTTGGTTGGAAAGGGAGAAGGAAGGACATTCGGAGAGATGAGCACCCCAGATCCCGTGCTTTGGGAAGGGGCCTTGGAGGAGAGCTGTGAGGGGAGAACCGGTATCTCGTGAACACCAGGATATTCACGGTGGTGTGAGGGAAGTACAACGGGATGGCCCCTGACCCCTGACCCCATAGACATCCAGCCTCACGCCAGCAGCCGCACATGCATTCGCTGCCCCATCACCGGCCCACGCAGTACCTTATGCAGGAGCTAAACCCTGCTCTTCCGGGCTCTGGTGTTTTTCTTCCTGAGTTTCCCGGGATCGTCACTTGTGCCCAGTTTTATAGGCAGAAGAATGCGGAGGAAGTGGAAGGGAAAGATCGGAAACCCGAACCTCCCTGAGGGTGACCTTGGAAGCCCAGGTCCTCCTGGGAAAACCCTGAACTCTGAAGCCTAGCCTGACCTTGTCCCTTGGACCCTGGACATTAGGCAAACTGGACAGGAGGAAGAGGAAGGAGGCGGGGCCCTCGGGCAGCCCTCCAGCACAAAGGGTTCGCTCACACCCAGAGTTAGCAATCTGATCTGCCCTTGGGAGCAGGTGGGGCTTGGCGCACACTCATGCACCTAGATTTCCCTTTCCCTCTTCCAGCCCCAGGTCAGAAAACGCCCCTGCACTTCTCCGTGAGACTTTGGGTAAAGGGGAGGGGCCAGAGACTACTCAAGAGGGCCTGGTGCAAGTTCAAGTTCAGCTTCTATTGTTAACTCCGGTTAAGTCCCTTAACCACCCTCTGCCCAGCTGTAAAATGAGGGCTTTTCACTTCCCGTAGTTTGAAACTCAGAATGCAGACCATCCTCTGACAATGAAGACCTGGGGAACTGGAGGTGGTGCCCTGCCAGTCTCAAAGGCCTGTTCCACCACCAGGCAGCCCAGGGGGCCTCAGCTCCTCCGGGGCCTTAGCCCCCAGGAGCTCAACAAGACAAAGCAAGTGCTCCCTCACCCTGCAAGGTGACACCCCTGGTTCTTGTGGATGAGGTCAGCAGACAGCAGCTCCCAGAGCTCCCCGTTGGTATCATTCACATTCTGCTACATCCGGAGGCCTGGGTACGATCCCACCCACGTACAAATGCTTAACAGCATTTAACAGGAACCCCCCCCACCACACACAGCAGTGGCTCTGGCTCTGTCCTATGAGCCCCCCTGTTCAACCAGGAGGCAGATGCCCTCCAGGGCAGGCTGCCTGCCTCTGCCTATACCTGCTAAGAACTCTGTTTCTGGTCCTGAATACAAGAGCCTGAATTCCATCCCCCCACTTACTAGTTGTGTGGCCTTGGGTGAGATATTTCATCTCTTTAAGCCACAATTTCATTTTCAGCAGCAGGGGTAACAGTGGGACCCACCTCACAGAGCTGTGGGTTGATCAGATCCATCAGTAGGTGTCAAGTTCTTAGAACAGTGTAGCGAGCACTTACTTCGTGTTATTTAATTCGACTTAACTTGAAAACTGTCACTTCTTGTGAGTCTCAGAAAATGCAGAGGTTTCCTTACGTATGCTCAGTGACAGATGAGCTACCTTGGGGTGGAGGGACCGTGCCCCATGTTGGACCCAAATTAAGACTCTTAACTGAAGCTACTTCTTGGGTTTTGTCACCAGAGGTGAGTGGGATGGGGAATTTTCAGGTCGATTCTGAATCCAAGACTTCTCCAACACAGCTGGACTTGTCAAAAAGTAGATGTAGCAGTGTGGGAAGACAGACAGGGCCACCAAATGAAAGAGGGCTGTTCCAGCCCGCCTACATGGTGGCCACGCTACCTTCAAAGAAGAGAGCACAAACCAGTTTCTACTGAAGAAACAAAGCTACAAAGAATTCCTCGTATGGATACCCGCAGGAGTTGCTGGTGTCTGGGGAAGATTATAAATGAGCTGGAGGCTGTTCACTTCAGAGCCAGGTTAAAAATTGGGCCCATTCAGTTTTTAATCTGGACCAATTTTCCAGATCAAAACCTAGTCTTTCCAAGGATGTAAATGAGCCCAGGAGGAAATTTCTTCCCCTCTGAAGTTTATAGAGTAGCTGTCATTTTAATCTCAGTAGCTTTCCAACCTGAAAGCCAGTGTCTGGTTAAAATTATAAAGTAATGAAAAATTTGTCTAGGCTAAACATAGTCCAAACACTCCTTCTGCCTCAAATTTGGTGTATTTAATATGCTAATGTGTTTAACAGGTGGAGTTTCCATGATCCGAATCCCATCTATGCTTCAAATCAAACCAAAGAGGCACGACAGCAGGCTCATTCACGGCATGGAGACCAGAATGAGACCGTGCGTGAACCAGGTAGGAAATATTTCTAGGAGAGGAACTGCAAGAAAAGAAGAAGGGAAATATGGCAAATCATACCAGCAGTTTTATACAGCAGCCTTTTGTAAAATGCTTTGCCAAAAAAAAATCTGCTTGAATGATTGAAATCCATCCTCAAGAACACCGCGCACACTGTTTGTGTTTCAGAACCACCACCGAGAGAACCGTGCACTGTTCAGAACTGCGACTAGACGGCGTTACCAGAAGAGACCGTGGAGTGCAATTGATCACGATGGGGTTATCTTAACCGGGACAGTTAGAAAGAAGCCCTTCATGGAAGTCCTAAGGATGTGCACATGTGTGCGTATAAGAAACCGGTGTAATATTGGGCTGCTGCTATTGTCTTCAAAATGAATTGAACGGTGGGAATGGGAAAACAGAATAGCTCATAATTCAAGCGTGCCGCGGGTTACGATAATGTCAAGTCAGGTAGCAGGGCGCACGTGGTGGTAGATGGCGCCCAAGGCACCAAGTCACCTTCCCAAACGGAGGGATCCATGAACAGCACACGTACTTAAGCAGCCATATGGGAATCTGCCAAAATGACTTTCTGTGCCCTCTGATAAATGTCCCCTGGGCTGTCTCTTTCTTATATATATATATAAAAACATTATTTGTGAAGACAAATGGCACTTTCTGCAAAGTTTTGCAGACCACATTCAAATAAGAGTACATTGTCTTCCATTGTTCATAAGACATAATTAATCCCATAAGACAACCTTGCCACAAAGTAAACGAAGGAAAAACAGATTTTTCGGAATTCTAAATATAGCGTCAGCAAAGAATAAAAATCGTTACTCGGGAAACAAGGGTTAGAACTTTATTGCTTAGAACGTACTACTTTGAATAATCTCACAACAGAAAGAAGCCAAATCAAAGTCAACGCAAGCGCTCTAGGAAGACTTTTTACCAGGTGTAACCAGAGGGCCCCGTGCCAAGTTACTGTGTTTCAAGGTCTCTCCACTTCTTTCTAACAGCCTCCAACCTACACATTAAGCTCTGTGTAAATCTCAGAGCAAAGACAAGCGCTCACAACGAGATCGCATGCACCCGCTGGGTCCTGCTCGCTGAGGAAGCGGCCCCGGGTGAAGGCGAACGCCCCCTGCGCAGGCCCGGCCCTACGGAGCGCGAGGGCAGGGCCAGAGGTGGGCAGAGGGGACTGCGGGCACATCTTCAGACACTTAACAGGAAATGGCTGGGCTCTGGACAATGTGAGCTCAGTAAGATGTTTGGAGACGCAGGAGGAGCTGTTTGCCTGCAGAGTTGCAACCCCCTGTAACGGAGACAGCGTGATCTCCGCCCAGCTCTCCGCGCTCTGTATCAAATGCAGAGCCTCCACCTCCGCTGCGTCTGTGTAATAGATCATCTTTTAACAAACATCCCTGGAACCGCCTGGTCTGGGCAGTGGGGGAGATGGGGGTGGGGGCGCGGGGTAGGGGGTGTCTTTTTCCTCAGCCCTGAGCAGAGACGAACCCAGTTAAACTGACGCCGGGAGGGGTGGTGCGGACACAGCTTTCCGTCCTCACCAGGGACCAGGACTCGGACCCGGGCGTTCCGGGCGTGGTGCCCCCCACCCCGGACACGCCGAAAGCGTTACCTGGTTTTCGGAGAGCCTCTCCGAGCGACACAAAGCCGGGCCTGAGGCTGGAGGCCAGGAGCAAGAGCCGGAACAAGATGCCTTGGATTAAATCCATCTCACCACGGGCGCCTGCAAAGTTTCACCAAGTCCCGGGCGCGCAGAGAAAGGGCGTCTCCTGGGGGACGTGCAGGACGCCGGCCCCGCGGATCCCCGGGCCGGGGCGAGGGGGTGGGGGGCTGAGGAAGCTGGACCAGCGCCCACCGAGGAGTCCGAGGAGGCAGGACAGCAGCCAGGCGGTCGGCGTGCGGGAGTGAAGCCGGCTGCCAGCGCCAGGGCTTTTAGGGGGGGTGGGGGCGGCGAAGGAGGCCGACGGGGAGGGACCCGCTGGCCGCGGAGGGAGGGAGGGAGGCTGGACCCGCCCGGGGATGGAATTACAATCCGGTGGAAGTGAGAGGGGCCGGCCCTGAGGCAATTTACTCTTCGCCCACCTCTGGGGCGGACAGTCGGCCCGTCGCTCCGTCCAACCACCCCCGGCTCAACCCTTCCCGGTGGTGACCTAGATTGGGGGGCTAGGAGGGGCAACTTGGACCCCTCGAGACACAGAGCAGGGGATTGGCGACGGCGAATCCAAGACCCTCGGCCGTGGCCCCGACCCTGCGGCGCCTGCCCCCTTCCTGGCTGCACCCACTCCTGCCGCTTCGCCCCAGGTGGCCGCCACCCAGCCCGGCGCTTTCCCCCGCAGCTCCGGAGGTAGCTCCGGGCGGTGCGGCGCCCTCGGTGGGTGGGAAGCGGAGGCGCCGGGCGGTGATTTGCAAGCGCGAGGCGGGGGAGAACGGGGGCGGGGCCGGGCGCTAAGAAGATAAACGGGATTTAAGATGCGCAGATGGAGGGCCGCGGCCGCTGGGCTCCGACGGAGGCGCCGGGTGGAGATGGGCCCCGGAGCGGGGGAGCGGGGTCCCCTCGCGGCAGAGGAAGGCAATTTGAGACCCTCCGGGGGCGGCGATGAAACTCCGAGTCGAGCCTGGCGTCCTGGAGTCGGACGTGAGCTGGAGCCCCCGACGGACGGAGACGGGCGCGGGAGGGGCTGGGGGCCGGCTCGGGTCCCGTTCACTCCGGCGTCCTGGCCTGTAAAGGCACCTTCTCCGGATTTGCTGCCCGAACACTAAATAAAATGTGCCTTTGCCCGGGAGACCCCGGGACGTAAGTCGCGTTGCACACAGGCGTGCTGAGCCCCAAGCCAGGGAGCAGAGAGAAAGCAGATCCAGTAAATAAACCAAGAAGGAGATGCAACCGCAGCACCTCCCGGGATTAGAGCAAAGGCCCCACGAGGTGCCCCGCACAGCGAGACAGAGGTCGCCGCCGGGCTGGCCCGCGCGCTGGCCCGCCCCACCCCGCCGCGCCGGTGAGACTCCTTGGGAGTCCGGCCCCTCCTTGTTACCCGAGATTTGGGAGAACCAGAGGGAAAACATGTGGACTGACAGATCTCCCTTGAAGTGCCCCCCTGGCGAAAGGGTCTGTCATGAGCCCGCTCTGGTTTGTTAGCAAAGCCCAGGGTACGTTGTCTTCCGGTGGCTTTCCAGCCCGAGGGGGCGACTGTCCATAAGTTGAAAGTCCACTCCAACTCGAGCCTTTGGACGTCTTAGTCGGGACACCAGAGCTTGTCCTCTAAGCGGATCTGGAGCAGAAAAGCTGAGGCAGACTGCTTTTCACTCCCGCGGAGAGAAGGAAGGCCCGTCTGGAAGCCAGGCACGGTGCCTGCTCCTGGGGCTGCCCTGTCCAAGGCCCCAGAATCGCAGCCCCCGAGGACTGTCAGAGCCCCTGGAAGGCAGGCATCCCGGCCCTGCCTCCCACCGGCAGGAGTGTGCTGTTGGCATCCTTGGCAAAGTCGTGCGCCTGAGCTCAATGAACTCTGCCAGCCCAGAAGTTGTTGGAAGCCCTTTCCACACCAAAGGGTTTCTGACATCAGAAGTACCGTACTGCCCACAGCCCAGCAAGCGTTTCCATGAAGATACCTCCCATGTTGGTTCTGCTCTTTCCCACGTGAAAAAGGATTCTCCCTGATGTGGAAACTGGAAGTAATGCCAAACGTTAAAATTTATTTAGCACCTACGGCGTACCAGACACCCTGTGAAGGGCGCGGCAATCCTACTAATAGCCATCCCAGGTGGGTGTGGTTATCAGTATCATCCCCATTTGACAGACGAAGAAACTGAAGCACTGAGAGGCTTAAGAAAACTTGCCCGACGTCGGGCAGCCCCCACGAGGCAGACCTGCGATGAGTCCTGGTGGTCTGGTTCCCCAGACCAGGCTCCAAGGACACAGGTGGAGAGCAGATGGGGCGGGGTGTGGGCGCTTGATCTCCGGCCCTGCTTGTAGTTTGTCTTGGTCAAATATAGGGGCTGGATGAAATCATCGCTGAATTCCAGACTTTGCCTTCTTTTTATTATGTGATAAAATAGCATCAGCTAATGCAAGCCACTTTTGCTCTGAATATGCTTTTTAAAAGACCTGTACGAGTTGTCCGTGGCAAGTTTTCGAGCCTGAGTTTCGGCCTTCTCGCTGACAGCTGGCGCCCACACCACTGCCTCAAACCTGGCCCTGGGCCTCCCTTGTATCTTTCACAGATGGCTGGGCTCCTCCAGAGACCCCCCCCCTTATTTCTTCCTTGCAGAATCACCTCTGATTACATTGTTATGTTTCACTTTCCAGCGCTTCCAAAAGCTTTGGGTCCTCAGAGCACCGAGTTAAGACCTCACCTCTTGAGAGCTGCCTGTTACAGCCAAGCGCGCACATGGGGCGGGCCCTTTTTTTGCTGGTCAGATCGCAGGGCGCCACCACTCCCTCTTCCTTCAGTTGGACAACCGGTTCATGGCTCTTGTAAAACCTGGTAAAGACAAACACTGCCCTTGCCTTTCCCTGGCTTCCTGCCTTGTGGGAGGGGGAGGGATGAAGAGGGCAAAGAAGCTTTGAATGTTTCATTTTTAAAAATCTGTTCCAATTCACTGGAGGTCTAAACTCAATTAATCAGGTCGCCAGCAGAAGACTGACCTGCCCCCTTTACTCAATATCTTGGAAGAAGACTCTGACCTTTGCTCCACGGAATGGATTTAGAGGCCGTTGGCGGAGAGGAAAGGAGAAGTTGCCGACTGCAGAATGTTTAGAAAGTCCCCAAGCGAGAGTGAGAAAAAGACGGCGGCAGAGAAATTAGCTTTAGATTTAATTTATTTTTGAATAGTGTATACGTACATATAAAATCTGAAAAGTGCATCAGGCAGAGCGTACAGTGAAAATTAATTTTCCTTCCACCCCTTCCTCTCTCAGAAGCAACCGCTGTGACCAGTTTCTTGTGTGTCTTTCTAGACAGATTCTAGGAACAAACAAATAACTGCACATATGTTTACAACAAACAGAAACACCTCGTTCGCACGTTTTCACCTGCAGGTCTGCCCCCCCCCTTCCTAACTGGTGCGTAGTATTCCAGTGTGCGACGTGCTACAATCCATTCTTTCTTCTGTTACGGTTACCAACAACACTGCGGTGAGCGGTCCCGAGTGTGTCACGTTTTTCACGTTATAACAGGATGTGGGCGCCTTTCTAGACCAGATGTGGCTCAGCCACGGGCTGAGTGCCTTTTCGTTTGGGGAATTTGGCCAGAGCTCCTCCCCAGGAGACCATCTGAATTTATACTCCCACAAGCAATAGCTGGGTGTGACCCTGTGCGCACACTCTCTCTGTTCAGCACACTGTCCTATCAAACTGGAACGATGTATTATGTCCATGTAGATCACATGTTTCAGTCAATACGCAACATACAAAGAAAAGTGCTCATGTAGTCAGTGAACTGATTGACGCGTCACAGCGAAAGTGCAACTGCCCCCAGCCCGAGACCCCGGACACGACCAGCACCCCCAGTCCTTCCCCTCAGGCCTCCTCCCTACATGTCCATATTTTTGATGAAGTATGAAGACAATTCAAGCTTCCCACTCACTTTCAATGACAATACACAAATATACATAGGTCAGCAAAGTTGGAAGCACCCCCCCCAGAACATGTAAGCACCCCCCATCCCCAAGCGTTCATTGAGATTTGATCCCATCGTGTACAAGGCTCTGTCCGAGAACAGAAAGACTGACAGGAAAGAAAGTACAACAGTGTCTTCTGCACTCGACGGGACTGCAGTTTCGTGGGAAGAAGACAGTCACACGGCTGCCTGCTCCACAGAGTAGGACGAGGCACCGTGTGTCCAGAGGAAGACCCTGTAGTACAAATGATAACCTGCATAATCATACATTAAAAAATATAGCCCTCAACCTCACAAATGTTTAAATTATTCTCACATCCATAACAGGATTCACCGGGGGCAGAACTGGAGCTTCCAGGGTAAATGACCTGGCTTCTCCAAATCTGTCCTTCTGCATGTCTTCCTGGAGGCATCGGTTAAAAATGACTGGGGAATTGTAGTGAGGCTGGGCACCCTGGTGAGTCTCCAGCCCTTCATTCTAATGTCAACTTTTTAACAAACGAAGGTGCATAAACCCCAAGTGTACAATTCCACGGGGTTATCCTTGCGGGAGGAGTCCCCAGATCATAAAACACCGGGTCCGGCAGAAGTGAGGCCTGCTGGAGTGTGGTTAGTGGGGTCTGTGGATGTCTCACTCGAGGTGGACAGCAATTCGGACATTTCATGAAATGTCATAGGGTGAGCTTGAGTGTGGTGTTACAGAATTACATGCTTGTGACTTCGTAAGAAAAGAGTTTGTAATAAAACAGGGGTGTTATTTGTGCCAGACCCTGTAGAAAAACACCAGGTCCTTAAAGTCTTTTCATTCTTCCCTCCAATTATAACCTACCCCACGACCAAATGAGAAGGCATTTCCTAAATTTCTAACATCTACCTTAGTTTCACCTGGCCTTGAACTTTATGTAAATGGAATCCAGCAGGTTAATTCGGTAATGTAATCATTTATGTCTAGCCTCTTGTACACAATGTAATACTTGAGATTTTCATGCGAGTTGTGTGGTTATTTTTCCTTGCTATATAGCACTTCATTATGTACATAATTTTGATTTGTTTACATTCTTCTGGGGATGGACATTTGAGTGTTTTCTAGTTCGGAGCTACAACCCAACATGTCTGTGTGATCATTCTGGTATGTGTCTTAGCTAAGCACCCACGTGCATTTCTGCTGTGACACCTATGCACAGAATACAGTTTTCCAAAGTGGCTACACCAGTGCCCACTCCTACTGGCAGTACACCACAGTTCCAGTTGCTCCGTGATCCCAAACACCAACCTTGTGGGTCCTTTGTACTTCAGTCACTTTGGTGAGTATGTAGTAACACCACGGAGTTCGAATTTCTGTTTCTTTGATAACCAATAAAGTCAAGTACTGTTTCACTTGTTTATTGGCTATTATATATCCTATTTTGTGAGGTGCCTGTTCATCTTTTGCCCATTTTCCAGTTGGATTATCTACTTATTTCCTATTGGTTTGTGGACATTCTTTATATATTCTAGATACAAGGGATAAGTATATTTTTGTTGGTGGTGGATTTTTATATTAAAATACTTTTCCTGCTCTGTCTTATCTTTTAATTTTTTGATGATGGCTTTTATTGAATGAATGCCCTGGTTTTGATGTAATTTACTTGATCTTTTCTTTTTTCATTGACATCTAGCACTTTTTACATCTTGCTTAAAAAAAAACACACAAAAAAAAAACCTGAATTTCCCCAGGGTCACAAAGGGATCAGTCCATGTCGCTTTTTAAAAGA